TTTTTTTTTTTTTTTTTTTGTTCTTGACCAATTATGTGAGCCATTGCTTAGCTAGAAGGTTGAATTGATAGGAGAGTTGATGACTTAATTCATTCATCTTAGAGGGCATAGGTGAACGTGTGTTGGACAAAGCTGTTCTCTAACGTTACCAACTAGTGTGTGTTATTTACTCTGTTTTGTGTAATGAATATCGAATTTTTGTTGCTACAACATTTTGGTATTTTTGTCGTAAGGAATCAAGATTTTAATCTATACAGGGTTGAAGTTCCTTAAGTAAGACACTATCTTCGTTGGTATGAGGTTCTTTACAAAAACTAAGAGCAAAAGTCACGAAAACTCCCACACTTGAGAGAACTCTATTGCTTTCTCTCAAGTGTCAAACAACGAAGTTGTGAGCTTTGAAGGTATTGCCATATCAAAAATATGTGGTAGAGCTCTATTGCTTTAAGTGTTGGAACAAAAAAATTGTGAGCCTCAAAAGTGTTGTCATAATGAAGATCCATGGTCAAACTTTATTACTTCCTCAAGTGTCGAACAAATAAGTAGTGAGTCTTGAAAGTATTGCTATAGTGAAGATCCATGGTAGATATCTATTCAACTAACAATTCAACAATATAAGTATGAAGTGAAATCTTCGTTTTGATAAACATTTAGAGTCAAATATATGGTATAGTTGTTTGATTGATTTGCTTATTTTAATGTATCCAAGAAAAGAATATCACGGAAGCAACAGGTAGGAAGAGATATTTTGGGTCAACCTCATTTAGGCATACGTAAAAGGAGTTTTGGTAAAAAGTATTAGGATCACACATCAACACACACTCGATTTAGATAAACACAAATATTGACTCCAAGTATGTACCGTATTAGAGAATAAAGAAGACATAAAGTAAATTTTCAAAGTACAACCTAAGGGTATATATATGGTTAAGTTTACTGTATAGGCTTTACCAGATATATTCGTCTACAGTATATAACTATTCATCATATATAACTCTACTAGATATAGTCATTTACTATAATATGATCACTTACTATATTTGTCATCTATCATCTTAATATGTATAACCATTGAGTAAACTATAAATATGCACCAGAGTGCAGACGTGCCAAATGTAGAGGTAGACGCAAATGTAGACACAGACGCATATGTGACTCATGGGTTGGGTTGCGTGGCCTTGAGCCTATTTTATTTATTTATTTTTAAGGTTTTTGGGTTGGGTTGAGTTAACCCAATAATTTGAATTTTGAACCCAAACCCTACTCGAACCCAATCGGGTTCCAAAAACAAGCCCAACCTAAACCCAACCCAACCCTTATAATTCGGGTTAGGTTCTCAGGTTAGCGGGTTGGATGTACACCACTACCTCAAATGTCATGCCAAAAATGAAGGCACCAATCAAAAGGTTCCACGTGTCATGCCGAGAGCGTGACTACTCCTCCAAGTGCGTGATTTACTTTCACAGGTGAAACTGCTCGTGGAAGGCCCTCTAGGCACATAGCGAGGTCCTTTTTTTTCATTCAACTATTTATCATCCACCTTAATTTAACTTGAATTAGGACCTATTAAAATTTTTCATAAGAAATGGAGCGAAAAAGAAAGTTTTGGAAAGCACGTATTCCCGAAGTAAGTAGTCATTAGAACTTTCTTCAAATAATACTGGTAGGGCCGAGACATGCTAGCATGTGAGCAAATCTTGCCTTAGGCGGTTAGAATATATAGGATTAGGACCTTAGAAAGGCAATTTTAAATGAGAATGTGTAGTATGTTATGAAATTCTATTGAAATGCCCTTAGAATATGAAGAATAAGACGTTAGAGCTAGAATATTTTCACGTTGACCTAGGTCAATACATTTTTCAGTAGACCGACCACCTTATGATCGTAAGTGGCGATTAGTAGTTGAAATCATAATGCTCCTAGAAATTAGAATACTCTCGAGGAGCTAGTCCCCAACGTCTTAGAAATGTGAGTTCAGAAATGTGACTCATATCGATTATATATGATAGCGTGAAGAGACAATTTAGTTACTATCATGAACTAGTTTAGGATGAGTGCCCTAGCGTATGTGGAAATGACCCCATGCCCTTTAAAGATGGTCATGTCGTCGGAAATCCATCTAAATAGACAAGTAAACACATAGATGAACTTAGTATCTAACGAGCACAAAGGGTCACTTCCCCAAACTTAGAGTGACTTTATGGCCTCGTGGAAGGGTCTGCTAGTTAACCTTCCGTAGACAATGTTCAAACCTATAGATGTCATATTATCCTAATAGATTATATGAGGTAGTACCTCAACCTAGGATACGGTCCTTCACTGTTATGACAATGCAAGCTAACTATGTCAAAAGAACAGTAAAGATAGTTCACCCCGAGTTAAGATATATTGTTCAGTACATTTGTAAGGCCAGAAATAAGTGAACAACCTCCAAACCCAGAGTGAGTTTATGTCTTTATGATGTTTAAAAGAACTATTTGGAACTTCGGGACCTTCCTAGAAGCTCAAATAGCCGTAAAATTAGGACCGAACTTCCTAGAGCTTAGAGAAAAGTTCATGGTAATTTACTAGAAAATGAATACAAAGGGATCCTACAATTAAGCGACGTATTAAGTATTTTTATACTTACCCCATTCTACTTTTCTTTTTCAGGTGTTTGCTAACTGTTGGTCGAAGTGGGAGATCGTTTGGAGTTACGCGGTCATATAGAGGGTTATCCCGGGACATCAGTTTTGTCTGTGCAATTTGAGTCTTTATTTTCTTTGAATTCTGTACTGCAAACCCTATTTTGTTTGTAAATAAACTTCAACCGCACCAACTTAAATTAGATTTGATTTTTTTTTTAAACGACATAATCGTAAAAGATAAAAAAGTAAAAAATTGCAACTTGATTTATATTTAATTAGTGTCACGATCATGCTGATTCAAAACATGTTGTTTGGCCGCATGACATATGTCCTAGTCTTGTTTGTTCGGGTCGGTTGACAGGGACATCAACTAATTGAGTGGGAGAAGATGTCACGGTCATGCATGTCCAAGACGTGTTGTCAATGACCGCATGACAAATATCCCGATCTTATTTGTCCAGGACGTATTAAGACACCGACCGACATTCATAATTATTAATTAGCTAAAGTTAGGTCAATTTGTTGCGGAGGTTGGACCAATCAACCTTACCAAATTCATATATTAAGTAGAAATGATTATGTCTATATACTTAAAAAACCATACTTTAATTTATATACACATTTTAACCTATGATTATTATTTGAATATGTTACATCATACATGAAAGAAATAATTGTTCGGTTAAATTTAAATCTTATTTATTATTTTCGTCATTAAAAATAATTATATTAATTTTACGTATAATTTGTATTTACATGAACACAAGCTCTATTTTAAGAGGGGTCGTGTGTTGAGTCAGTTTGGATTGAGACATTTTTGTAGACTCAACTATTCATTAATTAATTAGGATGGATTTGGTTGAAAAAATTATCACCCGAATAAGAATATTGGTTTGTAAAATAATCTATTTATTTATTTATTTTTAAATATTTAATTAAGATTTACTATTTATTTCTATAATATATTTTGAAAATTTATCTGAAAAATTATTTTTAAGAGTAATGGGAAAATAAATAATAAAAGAATAAAAATAGTTCTAAATTTTAAAAACTTTCCATTTTTTTTTATAAAAAAAATACCGTTAATACTATATTTCAAATTATTTTTAAGAGTAATGGGAAAATAAATAATAAAAAAATGTTTCAAATTATTAATAAATTTAAATTCATTTCAAATATATATATATATTTTAAATTATTAATAAATTTAGAGACTTTTTACTTAATTTTTTTTTAACTCTTAATTTTTTATTATTTAATATTTAAAAATTTATTAAAAAAAATTGGTGGGTTAAAAAGAATGAAACTTCGCTTCTAGACCCATTAGAACGATGGATGGGTTGTCAACTAGTTGAGTTGTTTGGGAATGCAGCCCCAATCAGGCAGTAAACTCTGTCCAAGGTTAAATATGAGCGAGAGACCGATAGCAAACAAGAACAGTTGACTTATGGAAGGGATGTATTTATTAGATGAAAGGTCGACGCGGGCTCTGTCCGTTGCTCAGATAATTCATGATAACTAGACGGATCGTACGGCCATCGTAGGCATCATT